AATTAAATGCATAAACAAAGGCAGTAAATAAACGTAGATAAACAGTGGTGCTATGTATGTGTGTGTGTTTATAAAAAGCAAAATTTTACCACAATTTTGTGGCATGCTTCTAGGCGTTGTAGACTCTACACATTTATATGTGGTTTTTACAGTTATATGTATGTTGTGTAAGGCTATCATTTACTGCTGAGCGATGGCGTCTGATCCAGTTGACCTTACAAGTCTCTCTCTATATATATATATATATCTGTATATATACACAGTTATATGTATGTGTGTGTAATTCTGTTATCTTTTTCTAGGCGTATGCACACATGTTGTATATTCGGCAGTCAATTGACATTAGTGTTGTCCATTAAATAACGTTTAACTTGAATTGACATATTTAATGTGACTGTCAAACCTTTCTAGGAGACAGGAGCATTTGTAACGGTATCTATGTACAGTCTATGGAGATACAACTAAATATATTTGGTAACTTCATCATTAAGTTTACCATAAGTATTTTCATGTAATAAAATGTGCAAGGAAAAAAGTATTTCAAAAAAGATTGAGACCCTAATTCCTAAATTGAAATTTATTTATTCAAATTGTCAACTCTTTCTCGTAAGAAGTTAAAACAACAACTATACACTACTTCAAACTATTTAATAATATTTATTTTAATTTACCCGAACAGGTGGCAATATCATAAATATTTATTTTTCTATTAATACTAAATTTATAACCATAAATAGAACAGCATAAAGTTTATATCATAAAATATATAAATTTGAAAAAGATGGCAACATCATTTTAATATATTAAAATAGTATTTTTATTTACCAAACAGGTGGCTACAACACAAATATATAATTTTGTCTCCATACCAAATTTATAGTAATAAATAAAAACAGCATAAATTTTATATAAATAAATATTTAAATATGAAAAAGATGGCAACAACATACATATATATTTTTGTATTGTAAATGCTTAACCATAAATAAAAACAATTTATAATAAAAAAATATTTAAATTTGAAAAATGTGGCAACATAATTTTATTATATTTGCATACCAATTATTTCGAATAACGGAAGAACACTTCTAAATATTTTACAGTTTAATACATCTGTTATAAGAAATCAGGAGGCAACTCAACAGAAAAGATGGCAGCTCTGTGATAAAGCAACCAAATAACTCAAGTGTATGCAAGATAATTAAATATATGTGTAGCAGCAACTTTTAATTTGTATGCTAATTTCGGCTGAGTATTTATTTAGATTTAAATAAAAAAATATGGCAGTACTTTTCTAATATATCTATATGGTAATACTTAAAATAATTGAATACTTAGAAGAATTGGAAGAATGCTTAGACTTTTATACCAAATTTTTTACGCAAACATTTTAATTTATTTTCATATAAATTTTGTTAATAACGAGGTGGCAACTCTATAAAATAGTCATGTGTTACCTTTAAATAAATTTTGTTTTTGTCATGTAACTGATTTTATCAAAAAACGTATATTAACTAACTTATAAATTGATAGTCTATGCACATTTTTTTAAAGTGCGGCAACACCAATTCCAAGTTTTTATATATAAAAGCTAACAATAATAACTAATTTAGAGTTTTGTATTTAAGCTTTTTGTCAAATCTCCAAATATTATTTTATCATTATATTGATTTTTTTATTGAAATTCATGTGGCAACTCTAAAAACCTCTCTTTTGTAAAGCAACAATATTTACTTTTTCAGATAAATGTAGTTTATATATTTACAGCATTTTCTAGTAATCATACCCTCTATATTTGAAATAGGTGGCAGCACTTGTTCGCCAAACACACAATTATTTTAAAACAACATTAAAATTTGCGTTTTCATAACCATATTCTTTCAATTTATTATTAATTATATTTCATACATATTTTAGTTAAGCTCAGGTGGCAACGCTTTTTATACTCTCGCAACCTGTTGCTACAGAGTATAATAGTTTTGTTCACCTAACGGTTGTTTGTATCACCTAAAACTAATCGAGTTAGATATAGGGTTATATATATATAAATGATCAGGATGAAGAGACGAGTTGAAATCCGGGTGACTGTCTGTCCGTCCGTCCGTCTGTCCGTCCGTCTGTCCGTCTGTCCGTCCGTCCGTGCAAGCTCTAACTTGAGTAAAAATTGAGATATATTTATGAAACTTGGTAGACATGTTTTATGGTACCGTGAGACGGTTGGTATTGCAGATGGGCGTAATCGGACCACTGCCACGCCCACAAAACGCCATTAATCAAAAACAAATAACTTGCCATAACTAAGCTCCGCAATAAGATACAAGACTGTTATTTGGTACACAGGATTACATTAGGGAGGGGCATCTGCAGTTAAAATTTTTTTTAAAAAGGTGGGCGTGGTCCTGCCTCTAATAGGTTTAATGTGCATATCTCCTAAGCCGCTAATGCTATAATAACAAAATTCACTGGAAGCAAATATTTTTAGCACTTCTATTGACGGTGTGAAAATAGTTGAAATCGGGTGGCAACTCCGCCCACTCCCCATATAACGGTACTGTTAAGAACTACTAAAAGCGCGATAAATCAAGCACTAAACACGCCAGAGTTATTAAATTTTATCTCTGGGATGGTATGAGATGACTTTATAGGAACCGCGTTCAAAATTAGACAGTGGGCGTGGCACAGCCCACTTTTAGGTGAAAACCCATATCTTGAGATCTGCTTAACCGATTTCAACCAAATTCGGTGCATAACGTTCTTTTCATGTTTCTATGTCACAGTGCAAAAATGGGCGAAATCGGACTACAACCACGCCTACTTTCTATATAACACCATTTTAAATTCCATCTGATTATTTCACTTTCCACTATGCAAATCAGGCAACAATGACTGTATCGGGATAAAACTTTGCGTGAATAATGCGATTAAAGTATGCCACCTTGTGGCCAAAAATTGTCTAAATCGAACCAAAACTGTTTAAGCCCCTAAGTACTAAATATGTGGACCCCAGTGCCTATAGTTGACCTTCTACCGAAAATATCAACCAATCCACAAAGAAATCTCAAACGAGTATACTATTTGACTTTGCGAGAGTATAAAATGTTCGGTTACATCCGAACTTAGCCCTTCCTTACTTGTTTTTAAATAAGTTTATTCTAGTTCAAAAATTACGCGTTTTTTTAATTGCGTAATTATACACAAAACTAAAGCAGTCGATGTTGTTTTCATGACAACGGTAAACCTACCTGTTTTCTAACGGTGAATTAACGCTTTGTTACGGTTTCTTGACTTCTTCGTGTTTGTTTAAAACAGTGAAATTTAGTTTGAATCGTCTATAAAAGCTATACAATTGCATTAGACTCTGCTTATGCCACTGAATATTCATTTTATCTATTCAACTATAAGAAAAAGTGGCAACCTTATAAATATGAAATAAATTCGAAATAAATATGACACTTAAGTGTCATTAATGTCATCTCAAATGGCACATTAAATTTGCTTACAGACAGCAAACGGCAGGTATCAGCATTTTTCAGCTGTCATTCCCGCTTCGAGCTAAGTAAGTGCCATCCAAGAGTGTTTGAATTTATTTTCCGCTTAGTGTAAAAGTAAGTAGGTATTTTTTGTTGTTATTTTAAATTATTTATAGCATTTCTGGTATTAAACTCGTGACTTATGTACTTTTTGGGATTTTTCCACTCTTAAAAAAAGTTTCTCTTAGCATAAATTACGTCTCCCTTTAATATCTGTAACTGTTTACATCTGATTCTATTAAATTATAGAAGTTTTTATTAATCAAATTCAAGTCTATTTTTGCTCTTTATGTTTGTTCAAAATAATACATTAAAAATTTTAAAAATTCACGTTTTTATACTCTCTGTGTTTAAGAAAAATTCGAAATTAAACTTTGAATTCGATACCAATAAACTTTTTTGATATCGAAATTACTTGTCGAAGTTTTCTGAGAGGCCGCAATGTAAAAACCTCTCAAGACTTTTTCCGAAGCAACCCGCTTTGGACTTTACGAGATGACTTGTATTCCACCATCAAGCCACATACCTCGATATTGACTTGCTAGAAGCTTTGTTAGCTAGCTTAAAAGGTTTGGCTGCATCCATCTTATAGTGCGGACCTGGCACCAAGCGATTACTACCTGTTTCTACATTTGGTGATTGATTTTGAAAAGAATTCGTTTCAAAGGAAACGACTGTTCCAATTTTTGGTCAATAGGCCAAAAACAGTTGGCTACTCCGAAAATGATTTACGTTGATCACTGATAGCAAACAATTACTTCTTAAAGTCATATACCCGAGAACTACCGTTCGAAATTTTTCATTGCTGGTTAAAATAAAAATATTTTTGAAGAAATTTTTCATTAATTTGTTTTGTGTCAAACATAACGAAACATACCTCGAAATTCATAGAGGAAATTGAACAGCTAAAAAACAGCAATAAAATAACTCAGTGTAATTTTTAATCAAACATATATAAATGTTCCAAATCTAAAGCGCTTTAAAACTTAATCAAAACTAAACAAATGATTGATGTTTGATTTTTTAATGCAAAAACTTATACAAACAAGTTTGCGAGCTTTCCGCTGCACACAAGTGAGCACAAGCAGTCAAAAACTAATTATTTTGTACGGAATTTTTTTTATAATTTTTTTATAAAAAATAATTATTTTGCCAAAATTTTTTTTATAATTTTTTTATAAAAAATAATTATTTTGTCAGGAAATTTTTTATATATTATTTATTACGCGAAAAGTTTTTGTTTTATTTTTAATACAAAATTTTTTTTTAATTATTACTTTATTTTATTTATTTTTTATTTTTTTTTGTTGTATATTTTCAGTTTGCCAGTAAAAACAGTTGTCAAATATTTTTTCAATTAAATGCGCTCATTCCAAAACAACAACCAACACATTTTTATATGTACACACCTGCAAATTTGTGCGCTTAGTTTTTAGTTTTCAGTTTAGAATAATCAAATTCGGCACTTACCTCTGCAACCAGTGTGACGGACAGCTAATACCAGTCTCCAGCTGCCAATGTGCTCAACTCGAGCGAACGGCAAACAAAAAAAAATCGCACATCGCACATTTAATTTTAATGCCACAATGTAAATTTCAATTAACTAAATTACAATCAATTTTTCAGCAGCGCGCCTAAATTTAGGCAATCATTGCAGGCAAGCGCACGCACACAGCCTTGCATATACATATATAAAGAGAACGGCTTGTAATAAAATAGGCGGTCGATGGTTTTATCGATTGATTGGTGAGTCGGTGAGGCGGTGAGTTGGCGTTTACACGGACGAAAATCGGCGAATTGATTTGAGTACTAGCAACAACAACAATGCGCATACTAAATGGCTGAGCGCGGCGAAAGGATTGATAGACTTCCAACAAAAAAAGACAAAAAAATAAATAAAACACAAATAAATAACAGAATAAAACTGCCGCAGCGTAATGCACTCAAAAATACACACACAGTCTCACACAAACAGTAACCCACATACACCTTAACACGCATGCACACTTTCCCGGCGTTACCAGCCTTTTACCAAAAATACCACTAACAAGAACAACAGCGTATCGCACGCTTGCCCACGCAATTAATCAAGCGGAAATGAACGTGTTTGCTTACGGTCGACAATCGCTTCACTCGCTTATCTGCTTCACTATGCTGCTGCTTTTTTCGTTTTATTTTATTTTATTTTATTTTCATGCAGTTTTTTTTTTCATTTTTTCGCACTCTTTTATTTTGTTTTTTTTTTTTAACTTTAATTGACGCGCTTTGTTTCTGCTTTATTTATTGGCCGTCTATGCATACATTTATTTATTTACTTATTTATTTGTTCGGTTACTCACTGAGCGCGCTTTCATGCCGATAAGTCAATGCGCCTAAAACTAGACAACATACTCTAAATGTAATGCTATTTTGAGCTGCGTATGTGGCGTATTGTTCTATTATTTTTACTGACAGTAGCGTGAACACGCTGTACTCGCGTATAGTAAGTGCAGGTGTTCTTGCGCCTAAAAGAAACTAATCAATTAGCTGACTAAGCGAAAATAAGTATTGAAATTTTCGGATTTCCATACAATTGGTGGCTGCAATAGTATCAAGTTTGCTGCAAGTTTACATATGCAAACGTACTTTTATATGATATTTCGGTATAGGAATATGTACCCAATTTAAGCACCCTAAAAGTATGCAATAAGGTGTAACTTAAAAAGTTTCTACTTACGAAGTATTGGCACTTTTCAAAACATGAAACATTAAAGTTTCGAACTAGTTATGAATAATGAATAAATATTTGAAAAAATGTATAATATATATAAATGAATTATTTTCTTCTTTAATTTTCTTATTTATTTATTTTTTGTTTTTGGTAAATGCTTTTAAACGGAATACAGGCTCTCTCCAAAATTATGCAAGAATTTCAACTGAAAAGTTTTCAGCTGCCGAAATTTTGAAAAAAATTAATTTTTGGATTTAGATTATAAATAGTACATTATTTTTTTAAAAAGAGACAACATGTGAATTTAAAAAAAAAGTTAACAAAAACTATTTAATAGCAATTAAAAAAACTATACATTAAAAATATAAGAAACATTATAATATAACATTATATAAATAACAGCAATTTAATATGATATATATAAAAAATATTTTAGAAAAATTTTATGATATACAAAAAAAATGTAATATATGTACTTTTAAATAAAAAAAATGTTGGCTTTCAAAATGAGTATTAATCAAATTGATAATAAGAAAAATATAATTTAAAAAAATTAATAAAAGTTAATTTTATTCAAACAATTTTAAAATACGGTATTAGTAATAATAAGGTTTCGACCAATATCTTAGGGTCTGATCACGTATACCGGCGGAATAAGTGAAATAATAAGTTCGCCGTAAATTTATACTTCACCCAAAATATATAATTCAAAATATCAAAATTAGCAATTTATGTTATGTAAGAACCGCTCAAATTGTAATTTGCCCAAAAGTATGCTATATATAATGATAGCACCCTAGCAATAACTTCAGCGAAGAAGTAATGAGGCCGGTATAAGCATAAAAAATCTACATTTTTTATTTCTATTGAAAATAAAATTCAAAGGTATTAAATTCTTCGCCTAAAAGTATGCTCTGCTGATGTTTCAATAGATCAATTTCGTCTCTACTATGACAGATTAGATGTGTTAATAATTTTTTAATGACTTCCAAGGAAATTAATAAAATCCTGCATCAAAAAGAAAATTTCAAATATCTTATGCATAGCTGGCCAGTAAATTAACCTAATAATATGCTACTTTAAATGACAAAGATAAAGATAAATCTATTTTGTTTAGTGGTTAATAAATTTCTAAGGTTACTTTCAAATGTCAAATCGATAAATATGTCATAACTGAAGACCAATCTTAACAATATTACCAAAACTTTTACCAAACTACTTCTTCTAACTCTTCTGTAATTTATATGTAATCACTCGAGTGACCACAAATATGCTGTATTAAGCCTGAAGTTGAAATATACTCACACTGAACTGCTTGCTCCACATCAAAATTAATAAGAACAAGCAAAGGCACTACAACGCCTAAAAGTACAATATATAGCCAGTGATATTATATTCAATGCAGCTCCCGAAGATGTGTGACATATTCTAGCTAGCAACAAAGATTATTTTGTAGTACACAAAATGAAGCCCAAAAGTTGCTAAAATTATTTTCAAAGGCAGCTAGAAATATTTTCAAATATTCCTAAAAGTATGGTAAACTGTGTAAACAAAACCACTGCCAAATTTTCTCCTTTTTATTCTTTATTAATATTATATTTTATATTATAGATAAAAATACTCAAAAGAATGTTTTATAGAGCAATTGATTTCGATGCGGTATTTATTGCTGTTATTTTTACTTCAAATCATAAAAGTATGCAAAGAAAATTGTTTTATTGTATTTTTTAAATTAAATTTTAGTTAAACTAACGTATAGTCTGCTTCTTTGTGAACTTTAAGTCCGGCTAAGCAAGTAAAATTTTTTTTTTTCTATTCTCACTGGCACTCAGCATTCGAAGTTATCTCAATCTTATTTCCAAACAAGTTTTCTTCATACAAGTTTTCACTTCCTTAACAAATTGCGAAAAATCGTTCAAGCACTTCCTTAATATGTGTATGTCAAATTTTTAATATTTAATCAGCAGTTAGATAAATAATAAATTTGACACTTCTCTTCCAACCTCTTAAATCTAAGTAAACATCACCAGTGCCCGAATGTATACTTCTATAATTTTACTCACTCTTTACATTAACACCTTCGCCCAAAAGTGCTTTAAAAATATGAACCACTTTCTTCAACAACACTTTCAGGTCAACTACCTAACTACCTAGCATGCGAAAATAGGTGTAAATTATTTACATTAAATAAAACAACCTAAAAGTATGCCCCCAATTTGTGAGTTACTTAACAACAGCTGTCTACTATCTATTAAATGGACCGTAAATAGAGTGTATGAGCGCAAAGCAGCAGCAACAAAACAAAACGAAGTGTGTAAAAACCAGTAAGAGAAATATGAGAAAGTAATCCCTAACTGCTGGCGCCTGATGATATGCAGTCATTAATAAAAATGTTGCATATTTATTGCGGTCACTTGGTAGGTCACGTGCTTTGAATTTTGCTACCAGCTAGCGTTGTATGCAAATGAGAGCAAGCAGCTTCCTTTTTAGCAAAATGTTTCCTAACGGCGAGTCTCCATACACATACACATACATACAGACCTATACATGCAAAACCTTTCTAGCAAATCTGCACTTAATTTTATTGCACATACCGAAAATTGATAAATTGCATGCCACCGTGTGTGAAAAAGTCGTCTGGGACGCATATTTATGATGTAGTCAAGCAAAGTTCACAGATACAACACCAACACAAAGGCACTCGCAAAATTAAAAGAACCAAAATACCATTTCATTTTAATAATTCAAAGCATTTCAAATGCTTCGTTGCGCGTATGAGACGAGGCCGCTCAAGGATGCGCTGCATTTCAGTCAGCATATGCAAAATGAAATAAGGCATAGCATACTTTTAGGCGCTTCTGCCCGCAACAAAGTTTATAGCACTGCTGCCACTAAGCACAACGTGAACTGCTTTTACAGCCAACAGTTTACATTTTTGCAATATTTTTTTTATTTATACTTAAATTTTGTTGAACTCAGTAAGATCATTTATTTTTAATTTTTTTGTTATTTTTTATTACTCGCATATTTCACAATATACACACATCGTCGTCCGTATTTAAACTGCTTTCACTCACTTGAATGACATTAAGCATACAGTTTAATACACTATTGTACCGTTAAGCGTTTAATACCGTTGGCAGCGCACCATTTTTTTCACCGATTTGTGCTGCCACTTGTTCGCTTGCCGTCGTCGTACTGATGTCTGCTCGTCTAAACACATCGGTTTTGTAACTTTGAATATTTCAAAGTAGTCGTTAGCTGTCGTTTTAACAGCTATGTTAAAAAGTTGTGCACATTAACGGCACTTTTGTGGACGGTATGTTAAACGGCAATGTTAAAAGTGTAATAGCAACAGATGGGCGAGTTTTTAAATAAAATTTTCAGCCTCTTCATTAAAATTGTTTTGTAATGAAGTGCTCTCAGAATTTAAAACTCCAACCTTTAAGAAAGCCTAAATTTGGAAACAAAATTTAATTAATTTTCAACAATAGTGGGCTTTGAACAGAAATATATTTTCACTTTTACTTTTAATATAAAATACTTCTTGCGCAGATTCAGGCTGCCTTCAGGGACACTTCACTATCAAGAGAAGCTACCACGCCAACTCATATAATTTTATTATTACTATTACTTAATTGTAATATACGTTTTTTTGGAAATTATTAAAGAAAAGTTTATAAATAATATAAAATTTAATTTCAGCCAATTTCTTTACCACCCTAATATCACCACACAAGTTTGATAACAGCAACAGAGTTGTATTTTTAGTATGCTCTATTGCGCATGTGCGAAATTGTGGATTGTATGTGGAACACGAGCATTGCAGACATTCAAAATTTCAAAAATAACGGCAAGATAATACAGCAGCATATTTGAAACTTTTCTTCCTGGAATCGGCATAAGCAGTAAGGAAATTTTCGTTTCAAAAATAAGTTAAAAATTAATAGCCCTCGAAAATCGGTTTTTTACGAAAGCATTTTAATAAGTACATCGCCTTAACTTCCCATGGCGCGACTATCGCAAGAAATAGCCATTAAAGTGTAGCACATTCACTTAAACGGCTACTAACAGAATTTCAACTGAAGCCGACCTGTAGTTTTGTTTCGACAGCCTATAAAATCGGAGTTGTCCGTAGACCTAAAAAATGTAAATAAAGAAATTGGATTCTTGTTTTAGAAAGGAACGCACGCAATGGGAAAAAAAGATCTCACGGCTCTCCCAT